GAGGACGCTGGGTGTGGCCCGAGGCACTGGTTGGGGACCGTCGAATCCATACCTGGTCTGCTCAGACCACATGCTCAGCCTCTGCAGGGGCCATGTGCCCACACGGCCATCTTCCTGTCTGCCCCCAGGAGACATCTGTGTTTGTAGCAAACGCGAACGAGACAAACGCCATCTGTGCCTGGGGGAGAGCAGGCACCGGCCCCGCACGGACGCACGCAGCAGCCAATGCGCGCTGTGGACACACACAGGGCGCACGGGCCACCCAGAGGTGCCCGGCCTCGTCCGGAGGCACGTGTGCCATGGGGAATAGCCTACAGGGTGACATTCACGTGCTTCTTGGCTGGTGAATCGGAGTTGAGGAAAGAATGTGAATTTGAAGGTGGATCCTTGCAAGGCTTGGTCACCCAAGTTCCAGGGGTAACGTGAGGACCCCCAGAACCGGGAAAGTGAACCTCTTCTGCCCGGGAGAGGACAGGGTGGAGCGCATAGGGCGGGCCCCTCCCGGTTCACAGTGCAGCCGTGAGGGACGTTCCTGCCATCCTCATGTAAGAGCTCTGGCCACCGACTGTCCAGCCAGCTCCCTTGGCTGACCCTGGGCCCCAACACCAGCCCGCCCCCCGGTCGTGCCGTTTCATGGGGTTGTCTGGGGCCGTGCGTGTGCGTCGGGTCAGCATCCAGTATCCACTTGGACTCTGTTAGGAAAAGCGAAACACCGACTGTAGGCAACGAAGGCGTTTACTACGGAACACGATACGGGGGGCGGGACCCCTGGACCGGACCCTCGTCCCTCTCCCTGTGACGCCCTGCTCTGGGCGCCTCTGGGTGTTGGTTTCATCCTCGGGGTTGAGCAGGGAGCAAGCAGGAGATTTTAGAAGCATTTTCCCTTCACTCACGCCATGTAGGGAGCAGCAAGAGAAATGAGGGGCTTGTCTGTGGGCCGAGGTGGCTGGGGCCCTCTCCCGGACTGCCCCTGGGGTGAGCTGGGGGAAGCAGTTCTTCCGAGGGGGCCACTGAAGTAGATACCTGAGTGGCCCGTAAGGGTCACAGATGGCAGGCTGGCAGGGT